TTTGGCCATCACAGCTTTGGTGTGGGAACTTGAGGCAGGAACCATAAAGAATGAGAAACAAGTTCCACCCTCCTTTAGCTCAGAATACCTTTTACTTACCCACAGCTGCCTCTCACCCAGCTCTGAGGGGCCTGGCAGCCTTCCCAGCATCCCCTCCAGCCCCTGAGTCCTAGAATCCCCACTACTCATCACACCACCCCATCCCTGTCCTGGTCCTGTAGTCTTTGGCTCAGCTTGTCCGACTCACCCTCTGGAATCCCTTCCTGGCTGTCTACCTGGCCCATAAGCCTTCCTCTGGGGGCCCTCAGGCCTTCTCAGACTTCACACTGTTTCATAGCTGTTGCTTCTCAGAGCTCCAGGAGCAACCTCTCACCTTCCTGGAGGGTATTTTTTAAAAATCAGCATGAAAATGTTGTGTAATGGAGTCCATATACCCAATGGTCTCTTTAGAGGGCATGGGTCTTGTGATGGTCAGAGCAGGCAGTTGCTGACAGAGGGTCTCTGCTCCATGTTAGGGATTAAGGCAGATAATTCAGATCCACTAGAGGTCATCCAATGTACTGTGTTCTGGTGACTTCATTATTTTATTTGTGTATTTATTTATTTTGCTGGCTGGCTGGGGATGAAACACAAGGCCTTGTACTTGCAGGGCAGCATGGTACCAACTGAGTTACATCCAGCACATTCATTTCCCTTCATCTCTAATAAAAAGTGTGGGCTAAATCACTCCTGCCCACATAGTAAGATAGGGCAAGGGACATTTGAGATGTCATCGATTCAGTCCGTGACTAAAATCAGACAGGAAGCCCTATGCTTGGGAGATAAAAGAAGGCTGGGAAAAATGACTTCCGGCTTATCTGGCTTGGTGGAAGGCTTTCCTGGGGGAGGTGTGAGCCTGTATGAGGGTGAGGTGGGGACGGAAAGTGACTGTGCTGGGCAGCAGGAGGTGGCCCAGTGTAAACAGCAGTGTCCTGCCACTGAACACTGACAGTCCACACGCTGGTAACCAAGATGACGCAAGAACCACATCGGCCTTAAGTCATCATGCTCTCCAACACCCGCCACCCTCCTAGCAGGGATCAGGGTGACTTCATCACAGAGGTACAGAGGGCTTTGGCAGATTTCTTCCTGGCGCCTGCTCAGATGGGGCAACCAAGGGACACTGCCGGGTCACCATACAGTCAGAATGACTAAGTCACCTGTGTCCCCTTTGAGTTTTGGTTATTGTGATTATCAGCATTTTAAAACAGAAACAAACAAGCAAACACAGTGAAATGACCTGGAGGGCTGGCAGGAAACAAGCCAAGTCCCCCGTGTGGGCTCTGGAGTCGGTGTGAGCCCCACCAGCAGCAGCCCAGCACTAGCTCCCAAATTTCTGCAGGCATCAGAAATCATTCCTCTGCCTCCTCAGGTTTAAAACATGAGGGTCAAAGCTGGAATTAGTGGCATACACCTGAATCCCAGCACTTGCGAGGTTAAGGATTGCTGTGAATTCAAGTCCATCCTGGGCTACATAATGAGTTCAAGAGCAGCTTAAACTATACATCAAGACCTTGTCTCAAAAAGTAAATAAGTAAATAAACAAATAAACAAAACAAAGATTAGGACTGGAGTGTAGTTCAGTGATACAGTACTTGCCTAACATGTGTAAGGCCCTGGGTTTGACCCACAGAACCTCAAAAACAAAACAGACAAACCAACTTGGATTATAATAGTTTATTTTTCCTAAATGTATTAACCACAGACACCATTACAAGGATGGGATGACCTCAGAATAAGATACATAGCAGGGGTGGTAAACCTATGGCATGCATGTTCTATTTCTTTTAAGACAAAAGATGGTAATGTAGCACTGTGTTTTTCTAAGCTAAAACTTTAGCATTCAGGATTAATTGCAGTTTTGGTGCTTTGTGATAAGTAATTGAGTTTTGGGTGCAGTTTGGAAGGCAGTCTCTAAAAAGTTAACCAGGGGCCGGGGAGATGGCTCAGTAGAATAAGCACTTGCCTGGCAAGCACAAGAGCCTGAGTTCAATCCCTGGTTCTGCCAAAAAAAAAAAAAAAAAAAAAAGAAAGAAAAAGAAAAAAGAAAGAAAGAAAAAGAAAACCCTATCTAAAAAGTTAGCCATCACTGGTATCACTGATATGGAGTGTGTTTGGATATAAGTAGATGGTCTTACAAACCCATTAACCTCTTCAAAGTAATTAACATCTTATTATATATATATATATATATATATATATATATATATATATATATATATGTAAATGATACAGTAGATATACTTCTATCAGGTCAGAAAGTTGAACTTTCAAGTAATTTTTAATTAATAGATGTTTCTTAGAGAAGTTTCAGATTTTCCGTGTGTCAAAAAAAAAAAAAAATTTTTTTAAACAAACCTCTTGTGGCTCTTACTTTTGCTCTCATGTGACACTAGTGTTGCCAAGAAGACAAACACAATTTGAGGCAGATACACTTTAAAATCCAAGGTAAGAAGCTTTCCTTTGAAAAGGGCTTTCCCATGGGGAGAGATTCAGAAAAGGGACAAAACTGGAAAAAATAAGCTAACACAGACTCTCCTGTGTATGCACTGTACCATTGAGCTGTGCCCCCAGCCCTAAAATGTACTTGTAAGATGACTTATTGGGTTATTTGTCTGAAAACATGTTTCTTGAGGTATTTTATGTGAATCAGTTAACAGCCCTAAGTTTCTTGCTCTCATCAGAAATACACATAAGAAAAAGAGGTTTGTACCTATGTTGTTTATTTATTATTTCTTGCCTATATCTTATAATATGAGAAACTACTTTGGCAGTAACAATACACAATGTATTAACCATTAAAAAAAAAAACACCAGTAAGAAATACACATAAGGAGCTAAGCACAGGTCAAATGGCCTTACCTTCAGTAAGGCAACCATTCCTGAGGAGAAAAAGTCTTCCTGGGGTCCAGCCTAGACTCCAGACAGGCTGTGGGCTCCGCATGCTGGGCCCTGGTGGGAACCCAGGCTCATTACTCAACTGAGGCCCAGAGCCGGGTGGAGGGGAACAGAGTTGACGCCTAAAGCACCAATGCTAAAGCATTTGTGGACCAGGGAAAGGACCAAGGAAAGGAAGTTGTGTTGGAGACACAGAAATGGATCTAAAAAATACAATTTCTTCTACCAAGGAGCTGGCTGAAAATGAGAGTCCTTGGAAAAAGTTTGAAGACATTCATGGGTAATCATGTTAGAGATTATTGAAGAAAATCCTTATTTGCCCAACATGCCTTCTCCAAGTACTATGCCTTCCACTGCCTGAGCCTCCAAGGACTTCTGGGCCAGGCACAGCAGCCTTGCTGCGTGCTATGGGAGTGCAACAATGTCAGATATCACATGGTGCAACCCCTAAGATGTATAGCATCTCAAAAATGTTATTTTTCAGTCTTTTTCTATATATCCATGTAGTGCTTGCATAGTTTATATTGCAGTTCGTATATAAATTTGTTTCCACTTGTTTTTGGTAATTGTATGATTAATTTTGCTATGTCTGCACAACAATGGCAGCAGTCATCATAATGACTACAGTATACCACATTGTACTGGCATGTCATTTTGACCTATTCCTCTATTTCTGGAATCTAAGTTATTTTCAGCATTCAGATAGTCAAAAGTGTTTTAGGCCCACCATTATCCTATATGAGAATTTAAAAAATGTGTTTTGTTGGATTAAATATTTAAAGAGCAAGAGCTCTAAGTGAACAACCCAACGTTCAACTTTTACCGTGTTTCTGTTCAAAACCATGCTGTGCTCTTCTCTTTTCTGTGAGTTTCAGAATGGTCACAATATTTCTTGCTCAGCTCCTTGTGTTTGCTCCTGCTGGCCACAGCCACCTGAAAAACCCTGGGGCAGTGCCACTGCCCCTGAGAAATTTCCTTCCAACTTCTGGATGTGGTGCCCACTTGGCGGCCGCTTGGTCTGCTCACTATCTGGGCAGAGATTTCTTGAATGCAAAGAGCTTTGAGGCAAATTTATCAGAATGTGATGTCACCAGGAGTGATTCTTATCTTTTTATCCCTCCCCTCCCCACCCCACCAGTGAGATCCTGCCTCAAATCAAAGTCCCCATTGTTACCTTATCAGCCTTCCCTCACCTCCTTCTCCTCCACACCACTCCCCCAGCCTCCAGAGGGAGGACAACCTCAATGGATGGGCACACAAAACCCTGGGTTCCAGTTAGCCCTTTGGTACTAACTAGGTACATTTCAGCAAAGCCCAGGGGGGCCTATGAAGACCCCTGACCCCATAAGCTGGACACCAACTGAGACTAACAAACAATGCTGGCAGCTCTGGCACTGTCCATTTTTAATCCTCACTGAGCCTGCAAACAGAAAGCCCAAGCTCAGCACAGTTGAAAGCCTGTCTTAGGTCACATACCTCATTGCCAGTACAGCCAGGTTCCACCCTAAGACTTTCCCTACACTGTTGGAAGAAGTGCCAGCCTGTCCAGCAGGTGCTGGGTGCCACGGCCTGGCAGCTTCTGCTTGACAGCAAACTCCAGAAGCCAAGTGCCTCCTGGAGACCTCAGTTATAAGGGGTCGAAGGCCCCCCACCGCCAGGCTTTAGCCTCAGGGAGGAGGGAAATAAATTTCCGGAGACCAGGGTTTAGAGAAAGGGGAGCATGAGGGGCCTGAGTGGCCACATCCAGGCTGGACACTCCCACAGCAGACCACTGCCAGGCTGTTCCTCCCCTGCACTGCCCGACAGCCCCAGTGCACCAGGGCAGAAGACTGTTCTCAGCCTCCGCTCTCCCATGTTTAGTAACCGACCACTTCTGGGAAGTCCCCCTTAGGTATCTGAGTACAAGATTCTAAGGAAGAGTCTTAGGGCCCATCCAGCTCCCAGATTCCTGTGATCCGATGACATCAGGTTTGTGAATAATCCAGCTGGCGCCAAGCCAGGCCAGGCAGGGCCTGCTCCCCTTCCAGTCCTGTCTACTGAGCACACTCCTTCTCTGGGCCCGCCCACCGGCCGCCACCCACCCTCCCACCGGGGACCTTAAGAGCGGCTAGAGCAGAGCAGAGCAGAGCAGAGGGAGCTTGGAGCTGGGACACCACCGCGCTGAGCAGAGCCAGAAGGTGAGCTGTGGTGGTAAGTCAGGGTCTGTGCTTTCTCGGCGCAGTCTCCTCTCTGTCTCTTTCACAATTTCAGGCAAGCCAAGCCAAAGAAGAATGACTCTGTCCCTGAGTCCTGGGAGGACTGGCGAGGACAGTTCTTTTTGTATCTTCAGTCTCTCAGTCTTTCTGAGATGATTGGAAGGGAGTGGTGGTGAGGGAGGGTGGAGAGGAGGAAGTGTTCTTGCAGGCGGCCCTGCTCCCCTGCTCGCAGAGGCAGAGAGGTGGAAGGGTAGAGCAATGCTCCACAGACAACCGGTGCTCCGGGGACCGCAGGCAGTGCCGAGTCGCAGGACTGAGCTCAATGTCCTGGCAGATGGGGTCTGCTTCTGCCTTCCTGGGGGCCTGGGAAGCAACTGAGGCTAGGATGCTAAGCCTCCCTCTGCTCCAGAGTCTGACAAACCAGTAGGAAGCACTAGGGAAGAACAGCCTGACTTTCAGCCACCTTGCTTTTCCACTTGGAGTTTGGGTAGAAAATCATCTTGGATCTCTCTGCTGGTCAGTTCGTCCTGGTTTTCTTTCCAGGGGCGTTGATCGAGTGTGTAGTCTTCTTTAAGGACTTTTCTACTACAAGGAAAAAAATAACACCACTGTCTTTTATCCTTTACTGCACTAAGCAGGAGCCCCAGCAGGCTCTACTGAAGTTTTGTTTATTTGTTTGCTTTTACCTCATAAAAATGGAAGGAAGGAGTAAAACATGCTGAGCTCCTAAGTAACTAATGATGAACTCAGCATGAAAAGTGTGGCAGCAGTGATTTATTTGGTAGCAGATTTGGAATAATAGTCTCTTGGGGTTGAATGATATAGAAAAAGTGTGTGCATGTTGTGTGTGGGTCTGTGTGCATTGTGTGCGTGCACAAGCACAATCCCAAGAAGCAACCCTGCAAGGACAGCTGCAATCAAAGCCCCCAAACATGACTTCCATGTAGTCCTCGGGTGGGGGCCAGGCTCATCCTGGGTGCAGACCCTAGGGAGTTCAGGATCAGTGGATAGGGTCAGCAGGAGTGCCAGGGAGAGCAGTCAGGCCAGGGCACTGCTGGGACCATCTAGACAGAAACAGTTCCTACCCACTCACCAATGTATTCTGCCCACAACTTTCTGAGGCCAGCCTGGGCCTTAGGGTCTTGCCAAAGGCAATGACAGGTGCCCAGTCTCCAGCCTGCAAGCCCCATCTGCTCCCCAGAGCAGCTCCATTTATTTTGTAAGGCCTCTTACCAGACTTCCAGCATCTACACTTCACTGCAGCCCGGGACAGGCAACACAGCCACCACCATGCTCCCCAGGGCAGAGCTCTGAAGCAGTGCTCAGGACTAGTATAGGGCGGGCAGCTGGGCACACATTCAGCCGCGTGGCTTGAGATGGCCCTGCCCACAGGTGTTCTTGGTGAGTGTGCAGCAGGGCCATGGCACACTCAAGAGCTCACTGTCTAGGGAGCCTGTTTTCCAACCTGCTGGCAGGAGTTTGTTCAGTTTCAGAGTTTTCTGGCAACTTCTATCTGGAAAGCCTGGTGCCAGCTTGGCGATTCAGGGGCCATGTGTAGGCAGACTGCTCAACCCAACACTGAGGCAACAGCAGATTTGTGGCAATGGTAGTAGACTTAGCTCCACTATCCCTGGACTTCTCTGAGATGCCAACTATCTGGAGTGAGGAAGATCTTGAGTTTTTAGCTGAAATGTTTAGTTGCTTATAATTAGATGGTACTGTGTATCTGAAGTCAAAGAATAAAACAAAAAAAATTTTCTGGGAGTAACTTTCAGCTCTGTTTCAGTAAAATCTTAAGATGGACACTGAGGGAGGGTGATATACTGTTCTCTCCTACTTTGAGCCACTTGCATTGTAAGTACAGGAGAAAAGTCTGCAATGGGAAGGTAGATCCTGTAACCCAGGGCAAACCCCATGACCAACTCAGGTTTCAGGCTATAATCCTCATCCCAGGCAAAGCAGCTCACAGAATAATAATTCAACCCAATAAGAAGGGGGTGATCTTAGATTTATAGAAAATCATATCAGGAGCCAGGTGTGCTGCATGCCTGTAATCTGAGCTCTTGGGAGGCTAAGACAGGAATAATGTGTTAATATTACCCCTTAGTTGTTGCAGGTTGATCAGGCCTGCAATCTCCCAAATGAGTATACAGTAAAGGCTTAAATAAGAGTCAAGTATTATGATTTTAGAGCACCAGGAGGACCAAAACCCTCTGGCAGAATTCAACATTCTCTGGAGGCTACGATAAAGATCTTCTCTGGGTAGCCATATTGATTTAATTATCATCAAAGGAGGGGAATACTGAAGAAATGTGGGAGAGGGCTTGTGGGTTAGCTCAGTTGTTTAAGTGCCTGCTTGGGCAAACTCAGTCAGGCACAGAGAACCGTGGTTCAATCCCCAGACCCTGCCTTAAGCAGCCTGAGCTTGAAAAAAAAAAAAAATTAAATTAAAAAAAAACTTTCTGAAAAATGTGGGAATCTGAGCAGGGTCATTTAAGGAATTTGGAAGTCTACTCAAGGACTTCTCCAAATAATACATTATG